ACGATAGAAAAAAGAGAACATCAAGATCCTTTCATATGTACATAATACAGTACAGAAACAAGCATGTACAATGAAATGAAATAAAATAAAATATATATAATTCAGTACATATATTGTGAGAACTAGCTAAATTTTTTAGTAAGATTTGTCTCATAACCAACAACTCGGTTCTACTCATAAAGACGTTGAGTTTACGATAATGTTTTGGGTATGTCGACGTTATGGAACGCGTCAGACACTGCCGAACCTCCAAACTAGAAATTATAATCTTCTCACTCGCGCACGCGTCCCATTACTGTCCGGTATCAAATATAATATAATACATTAATAAATAAAATAAAAATCCTCCGACAAGACACGCTTGTTATATACTGTATGCTATACTATATTCTTTTATATAAATTATACATATTATACGTGAATTTCTTTTGACAATCGTGGTATAAACATAAACAAGTTATCGAACGAGCCAGAAAGACGATATTTGATGGGTTTCGATGTTGAAAAACTCGAGTTGCAGTTTTTATTCGATTTTTTCTTAAATAAATTATAGTCGGGAACAATAAAAAAAAAAATTATCAAATTGGACTAAAGAATGTAAAATAACTTTCAATAAGTTCAGCATAAGAACGAGTGTTTAACAATTTAATTCATTTTATTGTAAAGAAAGCGTGGGATGCTTGATAAAATTATTGTAAATATTTATAAGTATAAGAATATTTAAAAAGCACCCCTTTTACAATGAAATTTATTTTTGTATTAATTATTTCATTGTTATTTTGATGGTATCAAAGATCATTCAAAATTAATTCGTATTTTTAAGTTTGCTTTTTTGTCAAATCGTATTTTTTTTTGTTTTCTAAATCATAATTTATTTTTAAACTTTTCAGCTCTTAGAAATTATGTCAAATTCAATTACTAAGTCGATTAATATATATACTTACACTAAAAAAAAATTAACTTGAATCAAGAGAAAAATTCTTGAACCAAGAAAATAATTTTGAAGAGTTTCATTGTCTTGAATCAAAGCGAAAAATTCTTGGTAAAATTTACTTAAACCAAGAAAAATTTCTTAGTTTAAAAATTTTTTTACTCAAATCGAGAAGATGAAATTCTTCAAAATTATTTACTTGATTGAAGTAAATTGTTTTTTTCTGTGTACGCACAGGTCAAGCTACACTAAGAAAAATAAAAATTATTGTTTAAAAAAAGATTAATTTCTTAGCTTAAAAATTTGATTAAATAACCCATTTCTATTTATTCATTTTCTAAAAAAATAATATCAATAAAAAAGTATGAGCCTTAATAATGAAATATTTATCTTTATTTCAATAGACAAGCATACGAATAGTTTCACTTGAATTAAGTAAAAATTACTTAAGCCAATGTAATGTGATCATCAATTGTCTAGACAATAAAATCCATTTTCAATAATTATCAAGAAAATTTCCTCCAATAAAATATGTTTCCTCTCAATGTAATAAAGACGTGTTAATAATCATATAAAATTTTTTTAATCGATCACAAGAATTTATTTTTTAAATGTCATTTTTATTTACGTGAGAAATAGGTCGACGTAGTACACATATGTGCTCAAAAAGTCAGAGCTGAAAAATAAAGCAAACAAGTTCTGCCCCTAAACACTTTGCTCATACAATGGCACTCAATTCATAACTCTGTGTCACTGATATTAATCTCCAACACATACATGAGAGGTGAAATGTGTATATGGTCATCATCAGGCCGAATGTGTGTATATACATAAATATATATTCATATTTCCAGACATAAGAGTAGTGTGTGAGAGAGAAAAGAGGAAGACAACAGCGAAAGAGTTGAGAGCAGTATCTGTTAGTTTTATCGTTATATCATCGCAAATGTGACCTCGACAAGGACCATTCCAAGTCGTTTGTTTGCTTGTACTCAATTTCCTTGATATGACCTTTATGAATTTTTTATGCATAGTAATAATACCTCTATTTTTATCTACCTCAACTAATTTTTTTATTTATTAAAAGTGTTTGTGTTTCCAATACTTCTAATGGTTTAAAATAGCTCGTGACTTGATGTCATAAAATTAATTAAATAACAACAATAATGACTCTTAAACGTTCAGACGATAATTTCTTGAAATTTTAAGTATTTGTGAATAAATCAATGGTAGATGGAATAAAACGAGCAGTAAATTTAATCGTAAAGCTCGGGACGTCACAAAAAAAGGGTTGTACTCGTACACATAAAATGACCGAGAAAAAAAATATATAATGGATAATAATAAAATAAGAAAGACAAAAAAATAAAAACTGTTAAAAGTTTATAACTTGGTTGAATGCATTTTAATTATCAGTCTTGAAGACCTCGAGACATTAAACTTGATGGCGCCTCTTCTGTATAGTGCTCTACCATCATTTTCGCTCGACATCTATAACAATTCATTCGTTTCATTTTATTTTACGTTTTTTGTTTTTAATTACTGAATTTTTTTTTTTTTTATTAGAAAACAGTACTGATGTCTATAAAGTGACAGTAAACTCATATCTGCAATAAGATTTATCGAAAATTAGCGTGATATTAAGACACAAAAATGAATTTTGAAATGGTACTGAAATTAAGAGACATCTATAGCAAGAAAAATTTGTTCAAAAAATTCCATCTTTAGAAATTCTAAAAAACTATTAAAGTAAATTTTTAAAATTAATTTTCTAAACCTTTATGTTTAAAAAATTTTCTTCCCTTTATGTTTTTTTAAAGAAATGAGTGGTACCAAAAATAAAAATAATAAAAATCTTAAAAGGTAATTATGCATTTTATGCATATTTATATTATTTAAAAATGAAATCATTATGAGGGAGGATTTCGGCGGCTCGTAATATATGTCATGAGTAATATATATGTATATGTATACGTATAATTTAAAAAGGACCAGAAGAAGAAGGCGCCGTGTCAAAACATAAATAACGCCGAAATGAAACCAAGTCGCACGACTTGCTTTTTTTAACGATACGTATTAGATTTCAGGATATATGGCGCCTCGGTTCTGTTCCTCAAGCAAAAGAAATATGTATCATGCATATGAATATATGAATATGAATATGAATATGTGTGTATAAGCTATGCCCTTCTCCGCCCTTATTGCGGTGGGCTTTTAACGCGAGGTGGCATGCCATCAGCCATCACACATGCTCTCGATGGGCATGAATGGAAACAAGAGTGTGGCGCTAGCGGTTTTTTCTTGCGCCCGGAAGACCCAACGTTTTATTTATCAATCATAATATTCTTCTTGTAGTAGAATTGAGTCTAGCCCTCAAATACTGTCCTCATGTGTTCTACCGGAAATATCAGACATTTATATTGTTAACGATTCAGGTAATTTATAACCCGTTCAATCATTATTTTTTATCATTAAAATATGTATTAAGGGTGTTTATTTGTGGTTACAAATAGAAAATTAATTTAAATGAGTAAATTTTTATTAAAATATTTTTTATTAATAGTCAGTAAATAATTAAAAATTACTGAACGATTGTTCTGTTTTTAAGTGATTTATTTATACTAAGTTCTGATGTTGGAATTAAACATAAATTGTTATTAAAATTAATCACACAAATATGGCTCGCAGATATTACAAGTTTTATGCACACACAAAAAACAAATTTCTTGCGCCAAGAAAATTTTAAGGAAAACAAAAGTTATTTTTGAGCCAAGAAAATTTACACTCCAGTCAAGAATTTTTTTTTTCAGTGTAACTATAATAGCAGTACAGATTATTTATCTTTAAAAATCCAGTTTCTGATGTCAGGAAGATTTAATTAAATAAAAAATATCTTAATGAGATTGATTATTATTGTTTTGATATTTTTATTACGAGACGACGAAATCGAATTATATTTTTTTAACGATAAATTATCAACAATATAAACTTAAAGGTTACCCAGTAAATAAATATCGACAATAAAATAAATTTGTTATTAAAATCTTAAAAGTAACTTCACAGTAGTTAATAATCAAATTCTGTTGTTCTAATAAAAAATTGTATTTGTACATACTTATTAAAATAATAATAATAATGATATGCTGGAAGTTGTTTGATGCAGAGAAAAAAAAATAGAGACTTTGTACTCGTGAATTCGTTCTTCGGTTCGATAATTTACTATATTAACGAAGAAATGATACTTTTGAACCAAGGGTTAACAAATCTTGAATTAAAAATCCTGCACAGGGAAAATTCTTTAAAAAAATTGTGTTTCTTCAATAATTTTCTTGATTAAAGATTATATTTAAAAAATTTTTAAAAAACCTTCCATCTAATCTACAGTAAATATTTTTTACAACAACAAAATAAGAAAAAAAAACAAATTAATTAGTTGTTATTGTTAGAGCCGAAGAAAAAAAGTAAAAAATAAAGAGTGAAGAGAAAATGCGTTAAAGAGAGAGTAAATAATTATTTTTTTTAACGAGGGCGTGAAAATGAAAGGGAAGGTTGCACCCTTCGACAACGGGAGTCGGCGTAACCTTAGGTGACACGCGTCGAGCCGGTACTTGTATTGGGCTTGTAGTCTTGCATTCTCCGAACGGAACCTGAACGGCACGGCACCAAGTACACGTACGGGAGAACAACTAAACCGACAGAACTATTCCGACCACACGGTATAATAGCAGCATACAGGGAGCCGTGCATACGTACCGATGCGTGTACGTGTGTACACATTATTTCCTCTGTATAGGAACGTGTGAAAGACAGAGAAAGGAAGCAGTCTTGCATTAACGTCCGACCGAGCGAATAAAATCTCCGCGTCGCGAATCGCCGACGAGCGTGATCAAAGGTCCCGACTTTGCCACGGGAATTTACCCCAGAGGTCACATTCTTCCTGTCTAGCCGGTGCTGAACCAGCTACTCAACTCAACTCAAAGAGTAAATTTGTTATTCTCACTAAAATTCAAAGCTTTCCAGCTATTTCTAGTCGAATGCATTTTTACTTTTTTTTTATTCGCTCATTCATTCACTGCCCATCCTCCTCTGCATCGCTTTCATTTCCGTACAGACCTCCCCGCTTTTTGATGCCTTTATTACCCATTATGCCTTTTATTTCACTGCGTGTCAAAAGTTATTGAATTTCATTTACAGCAAAATAAAAAAAGACAATTCTTTTCTCGAATACACTCCTCGAAAAATCATTTTATTTATTCCTAATGATGTACAGTGACGTTAAAAATGATCTTTGATCATAGTAGAAATATTTCAGAGAAAAAAAAATTAAAAAAAATTTTTTTTTTAACAATAAAAAATTCAAAGAGCTCGAAAATGTGTAAAAAGTATATTGTTGAGCTAGAAATGCTCATAATTTAATATTAAAATTTTTTTCGAGCATTCAGAGCTTGTAAATAGCGGGGAGTTTCAGAGATGACCTGAAGGATTAACCACTTTCAGATTTTATTTTAAAATTTTTTTAGGCTTTGGGATTTTGGCCCACTATTATTCTCTTTTTTTTCAGCCCCAATTTTGAACTCAAATTCAGATGAGCTATTGTTATAATGTTAAGTTAATTTATAGATGAAAGTAAAATTTTCTAAATGAAGAAATAAATTATTTTTTCAAAAAATGTTCTCAGGATTTTCGACTATGTTTTGATGAATTCATTGAAGGTTAAACACAAGTCGACTGATTTGATGTAGTCATATATAACCATAATATCAAAAAATTTTTCGCAGATATATGTCCAGGTAAAGGCTTCCATTAAGTAAAAAAATCAAAAGAAGAATATCACTATTGCAGACAATACAAACTGTACAATATTAGTTGAGCAATCATTGTTGTACTCGATCTTTCTATATACATAAAACATCTATCACTTATATATTTAACTGATATTTTTTGGCATAAAAAATAATAATTTTTCATTAAAATTTTTTTTTTTTTTCGATTGTCATTTACTTGAAATAAAAGTAAAAGCAATTATTTATTAATTGTTTATCTACTAAATGATGTTTAGTTTAATATGAAATAAAATTTATGTTTAATAATATTTATTAATATTTGAGTAATTATTCATTGAAATTTTATTTATAAGCAGATGATTGATAGCTCGGAAAAAATTAATTTTTTAAGTCTTCATAACTTCAAGATTACAATTTTTCAATAGATGAGGTTGACGTATATCATAATAAACAACACATCCTTGCTTAGAAAATAGTATTTACAGATTAATATACAAAAATAACGCAGATCACTAAGAAAAAAAAAATTAATTTGATTCAAAAGAAAAATTCTCGAACCAAAAGAATGATTTTGAAGAGTTTTGCTATTGAAATCAAGAAAATGAAGTTCTTCAAAATGATTCTCTTGGCTCAATCATTTTTCTTTCAAATCAAGTAAATTTTTTTGTCTTGATGCTTAGAAAAATTTGTGACCCAACTGTTTAATTACGGAGATTTTAATTCTAATTATAAAAAAATAAATTATCTTACCCATCTTTGAATACATAGCAATCCATTTCATAAGGATCAGGAGCATTTGTTTTTACTTGAATCATACAGTCGCAGTGGGAATAGGATTTTCGTTCTTTATCATTTTCAAATGACTTAATTCTTATTTCGTACTGTCTTTCTCCATTAACGATTTTTACTTTAGCATCTTTTATCCACACATCATCTTCGCTTTTGCCTTCCAGCTTCTTCCCATGTGACCATTCCAAAAAAGTAGTTACAAATTTTTTCAAAGCTTCTCTAACGAAGTACATTACTTCTGGGTTAAGTTCCACAAGATCAACAGTTACTTCATCTCTATCTTCCGCGAATGTCGTTGCAATAAACACTTGTGTAATCACAAATAAAGTACATATTTTGAATTTTATTTTATAAATTGATAGTCCCTTAGATAATAAAATTTTATTCAACACTAAAAAGTGATTCACATTATTCTTATTTATATGTCGAGTACTCGTACAGTTCTGAGAGTCTTATCGTTAGAAAAAGACAAAAATACGTGGCATATTAATACGTGGCTAATTACTTTCGACGCTTATCACCTAATGTGCGTCTATAGAGTACTATCATTGTTCCTTTATTAGAACTTTCCGTTACGACATAATTATGATCGAGCGTCTTTTAACTATAAAAATAAAAAAAAAATTTTAACTTTTTTTTTAATCTTATTAAATTAAAATCTAAATTCTAAAAAATCTAGAAAATCTAGATCTCAATAAGAATTCTATTCCATGTGCGGTAAACTAAATAAAATTTTTTTTTTATTTTACAAGAGTCCGGTAAATTTTACTGACATAATTTTCAAAAAGTATCGCTGTTTATAATAAATGATATTAACGGCCCACGATTATAATATAGTCTGGTAATTTTTCGCATGAATTTTGACAGAATTGTTTTTCTTCATATAGAAATAATTTATTTATTTATTTATTTATTTATTCAATTTTTATGCAAAGGCAAAATAGTCGAATGACAATAATATACACATAATAAAAAATTTTGCATCAATGCGTCAAAAAATTTTGTGTTAAAAATTTTTATGTTAAATATTTAACACTTTTTTGTGTTAATTTAACACAATAAATGTTAAATTAACACATAAAAGTGTTAAATATTTAACACAAAAATTTTTAAAGTGTTAAATATTTAACACAAAATTTTTTGACGCAACGACGCAAAATTTTTACTGTGCATAATTTTATAATAAAGTACACATATAACAATATTAAATATAAAAGACTGACATTATTAAATTTTAAGGAAGTTTATAATTAAAAATGATTGGATAATATAGGTAGAAAAACTCAATAAAGATGTACTATTGATGAGAATGAGAACAATAACAGGATCAAAGAGGAATATTTAAAAGCTTAAATGTTTCAATGGAAACATGTTATAATAATAATATTGGTGTCTTACTGAAAAATTTTTTTAATTAATTAGAAGAATTAAACTCATGGTCAACTCAGTCACGCTATCATTTTTTGACTCTTCACTTTACCTGTAACTTTTTAAATTTACAATTTTTTTGTTTAAAAATTTTTTCGCATATCCTAAAAAAGTAGTCAAAAAATTCACAGTAAAAATTTTTGTTGGTTATTTTCACTGAGTTTTCAAGAATGTCTTAAATTAATGCCTCTAGACTAGAATACCAAATTTTTAATCTTCTTTTGAGCTAACAGTTCTTCCATATTGACTTTCCTAATTTGTGGAAAAAAAAAATTTTCTGTGTGATTAGTGGAAAAAAAAAATTTTTTTTCCAAGCCCAAGAAATCTATCAGGGACCAATTAGGAACTTCTAAGGGGTCTCAGCGAGCCTACCGGCGGTTAGCGATGCAAAAAATTTGCACCTCCCACGCGAAACTTCCTTCACAGGGCAGAGGTTACTTATTCACGCGTGGAGACGCCACGTGGTATTTCTCCCAGACACTTGTATTATATATATCATACTGCGACAAACTCACTTTGTATTTAATTTTATTCTGTATTATTTCTGAAATTTGTACAGCCTGTCTACGTACAGTCCGCCAGAAATCTAATATAAATATAAATCCCTCAAAACTTTCTCAACGAAAAATAATTTAAAATTAATAGCGTTTTGAATATGAGCTTATGAATAATGCAAATTGTAATTCTATAAGTTACTATGTGTATAAAATAAAATTTACGAGCGTACAATATAAATATAAAAGCTTAGACGTCCTGTAGCGACAGGAAGTTGATTCATGAAGTATCAATAATCTTGTTCGACTCGTTGTCTTGTGTCTTATATCTTGTCCTTGCGGTACAAACTTTACGAGTGTGAAAAAAAAATTATTTTTTAATACACATAATATAATAGTAATGGGTTAATGGTAATAAAATAAACTGACATATGTGTGATCACATGTGATATGTTAATTGATAAATCATGCATAAATCACTCCAGGTAAAATTTTATCACGACGGTATAATGTACATATATGGTACATATAGAGGTAGATGCTAAATTGAAATAATTTTTTTTTGAGAATGCCCTCGGGCTTACAGCCAAGGAGTTGAACAAGGATTAGATGGAGACGAACGGCCACGAATGGAAAAAAATAAAAGATTTGTGTGTATACATAGGATGAAAAAAATAATAATGAGAGATTGAATAGTCGGGAAGAAAGTAGAACCTCCAATGTATATTTTATATATTATTATGTGTTGCGTGTATGTAGACGAATAGAAGCCGTGACGACGCAGTCGTAAATTGAGGCAACTTGATGGCGCATTGATTGCCTCTCGCATCATTTCTAGCCAGCTAGCGATAATATTATTATTATTATTATGTTTATATTACATGAATATATTTATATCAGGTACGTGTTATTGGTAATCTTGGGATTCACTTATTTTACGTAAACTTTAGTGTTTTGTTATTTATTGATAAACGAAAAGAGGCTTTAAATTTTATAGCGGCCTTTTTGATTTAATAGTGATTTTGTCGCTTAGTGGAGATTGAATAGGATTTTTAATTATTTGCGGAATAAATTTACCAGCTGGAAATTGATTTATGGAAATATTGAAGTGTAATTAAAATTAATGAAGGAAAATTAAAATGATGGAAGGTGGTTTTGGTTTTTTTTTATCTCGTGAAATTTCATTCCAATTATTGGGTTGTTATAGCAAATAATTAAGAGAAAAATAAACGAGTAATTTTTTGATTAATTGGAAATTTTAAATATAATTTATGTAATTTTTAGTTTTTTATTTTTGTAATTTTTTCTCTCGTCGTTGAATTAAATCAAAGTAGACTTATAAAAGACTAGAAAATTTGTTTTATTATTAGTGACAATTAAACAACACTGAAGAATATACTGCTTGTTACTTCGCATTATGACGAAAATAATAATGATGATAATTACATATTCTTTTGTAGATATTTTATCAATTTATTTTTTGTGAAAGCAAAATATTGCCTGCTATGTCTATATAATTTTTGATGTGTTTTAACATGGTCATATTAGCCCTGATATAATTATATATGCCTATATTTAATGTGCTGAACAAAAAGCAGTGTTGAAAATCTCCGCCAGTAGGCGCATGGTCGCTGAATCGTCTCGTTACAAGAGACTTAACTTTGAGGAATTAAATAATAAAACAAAAATTATTTAATGACTCTTTTAAAGAGCTTACTTATTATTGGTTTTTTAGTATAATCAATTTCCAGTCATATTTTTGTTTGATAAAACAAAAAACATATTAATTGACGTGCACGTTGTTAAAAAAAAATTAAGATTTTAGAGCCTATACAATAAATTTTTTTTTTACCTTATATTTGATTAAATCAAGCCATATATGGCTTGGTATGAAATTTTGCTTATAGCTTTATCAGAAAATTTTTTCAGACTGAAATATAACATTTTACATTGTAAGGATCTTTGCTATATAAATATTAAATTGTATTTCGCCAAAAATGTGTTAAGATTTTTTTTATTAAGAAAAAAAAAATGATGCAAAACAGCACTAATTCAAAAATAGACGTGCTTATAAATGGCATTTTGAGGAGGCGTGTCAGTGTCTAAGGTCCATTAGTTCGCGAGTGTAATTTACGTATTTGTTCTACGGCTTGTAAATCTCTTGAGGGCAAGAAAAATAAGCACAAGTAAAGTAGATATAGAATGAGATGATGAGGAGAAGGAAGAAAAAGACAGCGAGCATGAGCATAAGCATCAGCAAAAGAATGAGAAGAAAAATATTAAAGAATATTAAAAGAAAGAAGAGACGGGAGGTAAAAGGGTAAGAGCTTAGAGGTAAAGGTGCACGGAAAGAGCCAATATGGATAGGAATGCATGACGTTACCATAATATTAATAGTTTATTTACCGAAGCCCATACGTCACTATGACTGTTGCCAATGGTTCTGGTTAGCTTTCTGCATCTAAGCTCTTACCTTTCTGCACATCCTCATCCGCGATTCATCCTTGGGCCTGTATATAAATATATATAATGTATACAAGTGTGTTTATTCATGGACCGATGCTGAAGATGGTATAGACGCTCCGGGCGATGCGAGTATCACTAAATATTCTTGCTGTTGAAGCTGCTGACAGGGTTGAGGTTGTGGGTCTCCTTCGTTCTCCGTACTCCACAGTGTAGTCGAGTTGTCAACGGCAATATTGATGGCAGGATGTACCAGTATATATATATATGTACTACATATATTATCTTCAGGCACTTTACCATCACATTACTCGAACCCTTAATGAGAAATCAAATATTGCCGAGGAAATGGGATAACGGACAATTGATTCAAAATATACATACGTTTAATAAATCCCGGCGATAATTCAACGCTCGGAATTATTATTTAGTTGTTTTGTTACATTTATCATCGGTCTCAGCTGTAAATTATTGAAATATTCAGTTGTTGGGTTGTTATTTATACGGTTTATAATTGAGTTAATTTAAAGTTTGTATCAATTTACGAGAATATTCTCATTAAAAGTAATTTGTAAAACATGAGGAAAAATATGTAGTTTTATTTTTTGTTTTATTTATAAACTTTGGTAATTGCTTATTGATTATTTACATGTCGTGTGATTGATTTTTTGTATTTAATTTTTATTGATATTTTAAAAAGAGATTGATCATTGTGAAAAAAAAACATAATTTTTTAATTATATAAAAAAATAATTATGCAGAAAGAATATAGTATATAAATGATATTTAATAAGAGAAAAATTTTGAAACAAGAAAATTATTTTTATACATAGATTTGATCATTATAG